AACTGACGTTTCGAGCGTTAGCCCTTCGTCGAATTTGCTCCGACGAAGGGCTAACGCTCGAAACGTCAGCTTGCGAATCTCTTTGCGGTGGCCAATTCACATTATCAACCCAGTTGATAAAACAAAATTATCATGTTATATTCCCCAACGACGCAGCACCACAGTTTCTTTAGAAACTTACCCCCTCATTTCATAATGACATAATCGCAACATGACGACTAATTACTTCTTTTTGTTATTAGAAATGAACTCTACCCTGGATTGAATCGGGATTACTCTATATTGGACTTAGCAGACAGCATTAAAACTCTCAACAATAATGGAACTTTCCAATACATGATGGATGCTAATTCTCGTCGTCACTGGGGAGGAATTTTTGAAGCTCCAACCTCATACAGGTTAATTAGTTGTGAGAAAAACATTTTTTGAACTTACCTTTGTTGGAGGATTATACGTCGCCGCTACTCAAGAGATTGTATGCGGGTGTTTTTGAAGATGCAAAGGGCGAATACACACCTTACAATTGAAATATTGTAACATGAAAGTGCGTAAAAGGAAGTTGCAGTTACTGATTGCTAAAAATGCCGGTAGACGCTTTTGGTAAAAAAGGTATAGTCTAATTATTTTGCTGCAATTTTCCGGCGCTGGACTATTTTCCATTCTGGCAAGTAATTTCTTCGATTTAAAGTCGGTGTGTTTATACAAGGGAGCTAAGCTATACAGAAAAGAGGGCATCAACAGACGTTTTTAGGACACTATTTTAATTATGTGTTTTAAAATAGTTAACTGGTACAGCACTCTGTGCACTGAAGTTGTGAAACTTGCCGTTTATTCACAAGCCTTGAGGGCCACGGTTTTAGCTTAGAACGCGGCCTCAAAAACTCTATCGTGTTTGAATAAAGAATTGTCGTTATACTTGTTGTTTTGTAAATATTTCACCGCCGCGTCTAGTTTCTTTCGCGAATCGGGCCAGATCGTTGTTCGTTTGTGTTCCTTGAATTAGCTTAAAGACAGGCGTTTAGTGTAAGCTTGTGAAACCCCCTGCAGAAGTCTACGACAGTAAGACGAAATAACCGTAAGAAAATAGACAAGTTTTGCAAATTCAGTTCACAGGGTGTTGCTTACAAGTTTGGTGATTTTTTTTTTCGTTTTTAGACTTTTTTTGTTATGTATTGTAATTGTGGGATTGTAAAACTACAGTGAATTGTGCAAATAATTGAAAAATACTATCTGAAATATGAAAGATCAGATTTATTGAGGTCCATCAATTGATAAATTTTTTCTTGATCGGACTGCAGATTTAAATTTATTTCGCTGAAGGTTAAACTAGTTTGTTGTCTTTTT